ACACACTTCAAGAGAAGCGCAACGTCCCAGCTCGGAACCTACTGCAAAATGCCTCTGAAGTAGCAGAAATTGTATTAGATGTGCCGTCAGTCGGCATTGCCAGCCTTGCGCTTCCCGACATAACGCCGGCTGAAATCAAGGACTCGGTCATCAGAGCAGGCAATACAGCACCCGGTGAGGATGAAATTCCAACGGCAATCCTGAAGATAGGCTGACCATTTATTGAAACTCGGGTCAGCAGTCTTTTTAGAGGTTGCTTTGAGGCTGGTCACCATCCTGCTTGCTTCAAGACTGCTGTACTGGTCATGTTGAACAAGCCTGATAAGCTAGATCGACCCATCGCTCTCCTCTCGACCCTAGGGAAAGGCCTTGAACGGTTGATCGACCGCCGCCTCTCTTGGATAGCCATAAGGGACAAGATAGTGGCTTCACAACACTTTAGAGCTGTGCCACTTTGCTCGGCCATAGACTTGATGGCCTGCCTAGTACATGACATCGAAACAGCATTGAACAGTAAGCTTACCGCCTCCCTCCTGACGCTTGATGTGAAGGGTGCATTTGATGGCGTACTCCCCGGTCGACTAGTCCTCCGACTTAGAGACCAAGGGTGGCCTTATAACCTGGTTAGATGGGTCGCTTCATTTACCTCCAACCGCGCTGCCAAGATACGCCTAGATGGTTCAACCGGTCCCGAATTCGATGTCTCCTGTGGCCTACCTCAAGGCTCTCCAGTATCTCCTATTTTATTCATGCTATACCTTGCCCCTCTTCTCCACATGGGAACGCCTAAAAGAAGATTTGGATATGCAGATAATATAGCCTTTCTTCACACCTCCCAATCCTTCCAGAAATTTTCAGAAAATCTTTCACGCAGCCTCCAAGAAGCATTTCAATGTGGCTTAGAGCAAGGCTTAAAATTTGACGCAGACAAGTACGAGCTCCAATATTTCTCTCGCCGCAGATGTGACTAGCAGCCGGGAAACACTCCCATGGTAAGAGCTGGTCCTATCACTGCCTCTGAAAATACTGGCCGCCCGTACACTCGCTGGCTGGATTACTCTTTGATAAAAAGCTCTCCTTTAAGTGGCATGCCCGAACCCTTGCCTCAAAGACCCTCAAGGTTAGCAATGCTCTTTTATCCCTTGGAAACACGACAAGAGAGGTTCCACCTCATTTACTGCGTCATGCAGTTGATGCATGTGTCCACCCCATTGCGTATTACGCCTCAGAAACTTGGTGGCCAGGTAGATCTAGACAAGGTCCCAAAGCACGCATATCAAACCGTGTAGACTCTCTACTACAGTAGCTTTCAAAGGTCGTACTCACTTCCGCCAGTGCAACACTTCCAGTGTATTGCACCACACCAACAGCGATCCTACACCGTGAATCAGGGTTACAGCAACCGGAAATAGCTGTAGATGGCCGTGTGCTTTTAGCTACAGTCCGACTACGCCGTCTAGATCCTCGACATCCGCTCTTACGCCGAGCTAATAGAGTTCTCATTAAATAGCGTCCTACCTCTCGTTTTGCTCGGCGTGTAATGTCTCTTCCAAAATCAGAGCAAATCAATTCAATTGCCATGCCTCCCTGGAATCCACGTGAGTGCCGAGAAGCCGCACACACCCGGGTGGCTGGACCGAACAGTGGCTCTGCAGATGAAAACAGACAAGTCTTCCTTGATTTCCTCCATACTATACCCTTTGGAGACATAATTATATACTCAGACGGCTCAAAGCAACTAAATGGTCTTGGAGGCGCTGGCTTCATCGGCTACCAAGGTGGTGTACAAGCTCTACATAGGAGTATCACTCTTGGAAAGGGCGTCGAAGTTTTTGATGCGAAGTGAAAGGCGCCCTAGAAGGAGCAAAATCTGCACTAGCACTCCCAACTACTAAATTCGCTACAGACCTCTGGATTTGTCTAGATAACTTAGAGGTTGCTACTCGACTCTTGTCTCACTTTTCAGGGTCCTCACAAGCGCAATTTGATGAGTTCCTCACCTTGACACCCAAGTGGCAAGAATGCCCTCGGCTTGCCCACACTAGACGGGGCCAAATACGGGTTCAATGGGTTCCGAGCCACACATCCATAATTGGAAATGAAGCCGCCGATAAAGCCGCGAAAAATGGCTGCCATTTACCAACTTCAGATGACCTATTTTTCTCAAATGCTGGTCTGAAGCGCTGGGCAAATGAGTCTACAACGCAAGCCACTGGCAGACTATGGAGAAATCTTCTCCCCCAGCACATAAGCTATGAGAAACTAGGAATTATATTAGCTCCCTCTAGGCCTAAAGAACTCACCCTCTCGCGTGCCACTCTAGGCCGTATCCTAGCAGCTAGATCTGGACATGGCGATTTTGCCAACTACCACGAGCGCTTCTACCACGAGAATGGACCAAAATACTGCCGATGTGGCCGTAGAAAGGCCCCACTACATTTTTTCTTCTGCCACATAGGGAAAAGAAGATCACGTCTTATGCAAGGTCCACCTTCAAAAATGATCCCGTTCATTCTTGGCACACATGAAGGGGGGCGAAAATTCGGGGAATGGCTACAAGAAACTCGATTCTTTACAGAGATATGCCCATAAAACACCTTGGAGATTCAATGGATGCCTAAAGCGAGCTAGCTAAAGAAGAAAGACAAGTAACTCAATGGAGCAACAAATTTTATTTTTTCGGCAGTGTAGTCAACAGGGAATGTGGACTGACCTACGCAGGGGATGGCGCCGAGCAATCATTACATAACCACATAAGAACTTAGCAATTTGCGGGAAGTAGCTATGTAAATGCACTTTCTATGTATATAAAGTCTCGTATTGGTTTTTTTTCCTTTCCTTTCAAATATGTAGAAGCCCAGGGATTAGACCCTGGCGTCTTTTGTCTCAGTAGGGACTTAATAGGGCCACGCGTCAAGCGTGTGGCTCGCTAGACGTAAAATAAAGATCATTATCATCATCATCAATGTAATATTCATGCTTCTTGCACATCAATCTCTCTATTGCTGAGTCATTGTATAGATGATTCAGCCAATACCCCGAGCTGGACGTTCGCAGTATTATTACTTTTATTTCATTTTATTGTCCTGCCTGAGTCTATAACTATGTAAGATATGCAGGTCCTCTCTGCCTACAGGCCAAGGATACCTATACCAGTAGTATATCCCCTCCTATGCCTCCCATACAGCTTCCTTCAAATAGTACCGCCCCTCACAAATCCTCATTCGTTCATACACTTAGAGGAACCCTCAGCCCTTCATTATCTGCCCCCTCTAGCCAACGAATCGATGGCCATTTGCGGGTGTATAGCAGCCGGGAAAAATCGCAAAAACCACTGTGTGCGGAGCTCTCCTAATACCGACATTAAGACTAAATCCAAAGACATAGCGACCCTTCCGAAGCGTTCGAAGAGGACGGCCAGCTGGGCGCTGTAGACTTGTGTGGACCTCAGAGAATTCACACTCTGCCTTTCTAGCCTCCTTCCTGAAGGTCGTGGTGAAATGTCAGAAAAGTCTTGACAGAGCGTGTTTGCTGTATAGTAGCTTAGACTAGCTTCTTTTGTGCCGTCCAGGGCGCTGGGGAGTGCCGTTGACTCATCGACAAAAGAAGCCCTCCTGGCTAATTAGTCGAGATCTCGGTCTTTGCGCCCACAACAAATCCAAAGTTGAAAGCCCCTGGAAAATATCAGTCCCAGCAAGGTCTTCAGAGGCCTATTCCCCCCTCTCGCTCCATATCTCAGCCGCCTGTACTCCCTCAAGATGTTTGTCCCATTAGAGCAATAGCCCCCCATAAACCAAGACCCCAACTTTGTATATTATGACTTAATTTCCTCCTTGCTGGTATAAATAGCGTTTTGAATATATAGTGAGAGATGGCTGGATATTAATGGGGCAAGCTCCTGTATGAAATTGAAGCAACTTCTTTATCGGTCGTCGAGGCGAGATGATATGTGCTTAGAGAGAGAGGTTGAGGACTCAGAAGATAATGGCGAGAGAGGCATTGTCGAGAAGTCGTCAAATGGAGATGTGTTTGAGGTTGCTTTCGACTTCGATTTGGATGCGATTCTTCCTGGCTATCCCAGACATGCAGAGCATACTGAGCAATTACACCGGCACCACTGGAAGGTGAAGAATTCGTCTTTGCCGGCACTTCGCAGTGGTACTTACAAATAAAATCCGAGGCGTGAGTGCCCTCCTTTTAAATTGAGTCAAAATATCCTGTATCATTTCTCTGATATTGTGTCATGGCTAGATAGCTGCATACGCAATTAAAATCTGATGCAAAAAAAAAAAAAAGAAGAATGCCGACAACTTGCCGATGATAGAAGCTTCCCTGCTTAGTGCATAGAATGGCTACTCTTTACGTCAATTTCCTTCCTCGCTTTACCCTTGTGACTGAAAGATCCGCCTGTCGACATCTGCAAACTAGTAACGCTTCTTACGTATACAAACTATTATCTAAACATTCAGTACCAGTTCAACGTAAGCCTCAGAAATTGCAGTGCTAAAATGTGATGAACATAAAATTAGAAATACGAATAGACCAATCTGATATTGCCATCTAACGGTTCTTCCAATTGAAGTTAGCAGGCCAAACAGTCGTCTCGCCCAAGACAATCTATCAGTATGCGAACTCGGCCAGTTGATTACATGTACGAAGGCCCTGGCAAGGAAAAAGAAGCATTCTTTCAGGAAACTAATATAACTTGGCGTCATCATACGGCTAGATATCATAGAAAAGAAAAATGTTGTTCTTTTGCAAGGCGGTGTTCCTGTTGAGATAGGTCAATGCGACCCTATTAGGTTTGAAAATGTCGTGTCAATTGTATGGCTATCATCCCCGCCAAAAGGGTGTATCCATGTTCATCAACATTTGGAAAACCAAAGGCAGCCAGATCAGCTTTATGTAAAATATCTAGTAAGGATTGTGCTCATGGGCTACTTTAAGCTTTATATGTAGCAAGATGACCTCGTTCATACACGATCAGAGGCACGGGAAAGATGCGATTATCTACACTGCTCGCCTTCGCGGCACTTTCCAGACAAGCTACATATGCCTGCCCACAAAACAATTTACCATTACAAAAAGTACTGGGTGGCTTCAGCCAAAATCGTGCGCCTACGAATCGGGACTGGAACTATGATAACAGCTACGATTGGGGCAAGATCAAACCAAGTAAAAGAAACCTCCTTAATTTTCAACTTATCTGCTCACAAGCAACACAGATTATACGCTATGCCAAACAGGAACTCTCCAATCCCCTATTGATCTACCTATAACGCCCAGTATTTCCCGGAGAAATCAGCCCTCAATATCCAGCAACTTTTCATCCGTCGAAGGCGAGCTTTCTAACTGGGGATATGGAGCTTCATTTGTTGTCACGGAAAAAAAAATTACTGCCCGTCCTTCCATCACTTATCAAGGAAATAATAAAAATTTTCTTGATAGCTGGCATATCCATGCTCCCTCAGAGCATACAATTAACGGCTATCGCGCCCGAGCAGAACTTCACATAGTTCACACTGATTCCAACGGCATTGAAGCAGGGGTTTTCGCTCTACTGCTAGATCCAGGCCTACCAAGCTCAGCCTTTGTCTCTCAGTTTATTGATAACGCTAATGTTTCACCCGGATCTGACACAACCAACCCGGTTACTACACGGTTAAATATGTCTCTTGCGTTTGAAGAGGTGAGGGGTTTCCGCGAATACTGGACTTATATGGGTAGTCTGACGAGCCCGCCATGCAACGAAGGTATCCGCTGGTGGGTTGCGAAAGAGACCTTATTCGTGTCAACCGAGCAGATGCAAAAACTTCTTAGAATAAGCGCTTACAGTGCTCGTGTGGAACAAAAAATTTGGGCCCATCGAATAGGTGTGTAGGGACGAAAGCTGGTCTACCAGATAACATGAGATCTGCATAGAGCAGATCTCGAGCGGAGGATGATCTCTGCATAGAAAGCGCTCTACCTAGGTGGTAGCCAAAAGAAAAAGACACTCTGCCTTCACAATCAAAGTCATGGATTAATAAATTATAGCGCTTTAATGTAGTAAAGATAATCTCTTGAGATGTTGATTGTTCTACAGTTGCTATTTTTAGAGCTCCGCAAAATGTGATAGCTTATACAAATAAGGTGTGGCTTCGTATGTGTGAATTTCCAGTCATACCTAAGTAATAGACTATCTAGCACATTGGGCTCCTCTCTGACCCAGGCCACACCTTGTACAGTGCTCCTTGCCTCTCATATTTCTTGCAAGATCATTGATACATCTCCCGTGATGAATAGCTATTCAGCTCAGTGTTTACCCGTGGAATTCAGCCACCTTTGCCGGAGAACCTTCTAGCCAAAAAAATAAAATGATGGCAATAGAAACTGCGTGCGCGGAAAAAAGTCTCAAAAAACCTGCAGCCCCGGCCAGGCGAGGCCTAGACACCGGGACCACATGAGGTGCGCATATTCATCTATATCTCCCTTCTTTGTAACAGTCGAGGCCGACTTGATCCAATCCGCCATCTCTATATCGGGAGCTGGGTACGCTCCGGAAACTCATCGGATGGCTTCTCCTACATGATCCAGGGTGGGTGATGAGTAAGGCTCCGACCCTACCATCTGATCTGATGGTGGTTTGCTTCATGATAATGGTGATAGGGGAATGTGCTTAGGGATGAAGACGATACAGACCGCGAAAGCGATTGGGAATCCTCATCGAAGTGAGGACTTTGTTACTCAATCTCGGCTCTGTAGGCTATACAGTGAGAGCTGGAGGTTCGTAGGGGACACCACTGACAGGTGTTGAAAATAATTCCCTTCGGTTGCGAGAGGTTCTAAAAATAAACTATGAAATACTGGATGAATTTTGAAGGTGGACGGAAGTTTCTGTTTATATGCATGTGGCGAATTTTTTGAATATCCTAGAAAGACCCAAGCATTTATGATCAAGATTTTTAGATAATCTTGTAGTCGAGATATAATTTATGAAGAGCCATACAATATCTCCTCTAAAGATTAGTGGAGGAATACGGGTCGAATTAATATTTTCGGCTGATAGATGCTGAGCATATTCTATCTCGGATCGAATAAAGTTCTTGAGTTATCCAGGTTTATTTTTAAATTTATTTAGCTCTATAGTTTTATTCCGAAAGAAAGAGCGAGAAAGAAGCCGGAAGTGAGGGTTCAAGTCATAATTAGCAAAGAAAGGTGACACTCAAGTTGAGGAAGAAACAGAGTTGTCGTACAAGAACTCAGTCATGGAAAGGTAGTCATGCCAAATATCTTGTTAGTAATTGCAATACGCTTGAAGTTATTGTTGTAAAATAGAATTAACGCAATCAGCTTGTCTATCTGTTTGAAGATGAAAAACACTGCTAAAACAAAGTTTAATGGTAAGGCAAGAATACATTTCCCGAGCTTAGTTGGAGTTGAGGACTGGATCACAACTAAAGACAACTGATTCCGGAAAATCTTGTAAGCGGGAAATGTTATTTCGAAGGAGGATATCCAATTTAGGAGCGGAGCCTGTGGATTTGGTGGCGACAAAATGACACATTTTGATTAGCCGATCCACAATCTCCAGTGGTGCATCAAAGCCAGCTGAATTTGGGAGACTGGTTATAAAATCTAATGATACAGACTCTCCCCCTTTTTGCGGAATCTCGAGGGACTTGAGGTACCTCTCAAAAGTGTAACGTACTGGTTTCGTTCGGGCCCAATTATCGCAATTTTAGATGTATTAATTATTAAGGAAATAATGACCCCTCAGTCATTAGGGTTGTAGAGCGCCTTGATTCAAGTAACTACCAAAGTGAAACTGAGTACAGAATTTGTAGTCACGTGTGTACCAACGACGTGGCCTACTTGATAGCTCCAATTATTCTAAATTTTAACATTAATCGATCGAGGCTCTGATTTTTAGCCACCAGAAATTGCGCGAGGAGGGCAAGACTGAACACCTGTACGCGGTGTCCTCTACGAACCTGGGAGTGAAATATTCCCCCAGAGCCAAGTTCAGTCAAATTTCGCAATATCAAAGAAGTTGGCCCACGAGGCAAAATTTCAAATTACTCCGCCACGTCAATCTTTCATTCCCAAAGAGTCCGATTCTCGACTAAGCTTCATCAAGTCTACAAGTACGACATAGTACATCCTCACCCCAATGATCACACCTCTAGTCGACTTTCTCTGGCCTTATTTGACCGCCAAATACACGCCCACGCCGATATTTATACCCGACGGAGGAAGCAAAGTGTGGCGCACAAATCTGGGAGATAGTTCTTTGGGATGGACGTGAGAGGGGTCAGGAAAAGATTACAAGATGATGCAGAAGAGGGATACATTCTCGACGGGCGTGAAATTTTGAATTTTGGCAAGAGTTTTACGAATCGAGCTTTGTGCGCGCCAAGACTTCGCTTGCGAGAGTGCAGCTGACACTATAAACACAAGCAAACGATGGAAGGTGTTGTGGTCCGCCTCCTGGCGGTGTTCTCCGGTATAGCCTGAGTAGCCTGGGCACCTACTCCACTTGGGAAGGAGACATCTCAGATTACATTTCGCGCGGAGAAAAGTTGATGGATGACGGAGGCATGTCTGGATAACTCAGGGTTTTTGAGATGTTCCCCTGAGTGGGTATTCACGGATGAGGGATGACTTGGGGTGAAGAAAAAGCCGCCATAACTTCGCAGTGGTACTTGCAAATGAAATCCGAGGCATGAATGCTCCTCTTGTAAATTGAGTCATTTTTTCTGTACTTTTCTTTGATATTGTGTCATAGCTAGATAGCTGCATACGCAATTAAAATCTGATGCAAAAAAAAAAATTAAAAAAATTGCGCGAGACAACTTCTAAATTTTTAGCTCTATCTAGATGACCCACGGTAGAGTGTTCATGGGGTATTGAAATAATTTTAGCACGGAGAGATTCTGGTACGTATATCAGTTTCGAGACGAAGTTCTAAGTCACTTGTTCCGTAGGAACCTACATCGACGTAAGTATTATAAGTAATGGATGATTTGAGAGCCTTGATAATTTCTTGGACAAACAAATACAAGGCAAATGAATTTTTAAGCTCCTTAACAAAGGGGTTACTAAAGGTGAGTGCTGGGAACTTTCCCTCAGCCTCCGAGGACAAATAAGAGTTTGTTGAGTGGAGAAGAGACTGACGATACTGTGACAAGCAAGGTTATGCAAAAGAAGACTGTGTAGAGCAGGGAGTAGACAAATATTCGAGCAAGGTAGGATTTAACTGGTTTCAAGTTTTACCAGGGGATATTATCAGATCGCGCGGCTCATGTTCACTTACAAGAACATTGTCCTCCGATCTACAAGTAAGACCATCAGCTCTAGAATTTTTGACGTCCCTGCGAGGTTTAGTAAGGGAATGCATCTCAGCAAATTTCAAGGCTCAACGAGCTTGTCTACCATTCAATATTCGCTTGATTATTAGAGTTCCAGGGTTTTGGTGATTTGTAATTATTCGAACCGGTGAAGCAAGATTGCAAAAATACTGTCTATAGGCCTTAACGCTCTCTACAATTGCAAGAATTTCTTTGTCATTCAATTTCTAGTTATGTTCAGCTGGATTCATAGTTTAAGAGAAATATGGAATAGGATGTAGTTTTTTAAGTGAGTTTGAGCCAGTATGGACCTGAGAGAAGACGGCTGAAATCACTATGTTGAAGGCATCAGTTTCAAGGACAGTTGGCGACGAGGGGCTGATGTGGCGTAAAATAGGCTCAGAAATAGAGGCTAGCTTGAGAGTGTTTCAGGCGGATTGACAGCTTGATTTCCATTAGAATTTAGTGTTCTTACGAGTGAGTTGAAAAGGTGAGGCGGCAATATCGGATTACTTCCTGATAACTCTCCTGTAATAATTTGGAACCCTCGGAAATAATTGAACGCCTCAAAAATCCGAAGAAATTTACCATACTTGAATAGTTTGTATTTTTGAAGGATCCATGTAAAGTTCTTGAGGTAAGACAAAAAAGCCCAGAAATGTGGTTGATTCAACACCGAACTCATTTTATCAGGCTTATATAAAGGATGTACTCTTGAAGTTTATTAATCACCTGAAGTACGTGCTAATCGTACTGCGCAGGATTTCCCGAAAAAATTAAGATATCTTCCAGGCAGACGACGACAGATAGATCGAGATTTTCTCTCAGGAAATTATTGGCAATTGGTTGGCATGTAGCAAGTGTATTAGTTATTCCGAATGGCATAACTTTATACTGATACTAACCATATCTAGTTCAGAAGGCTGTCTTTGTTTCGTCGCTAAATTTCATCCGAGTCTATTTATATGCTCCCCTTAGATCAAGTCAACTAAATATGCGACAACCAAAGAGTTGCCGAAGAGGATTATCAATTTATGCCAGAGGGTGGATGTCTTTTTTCATAACCGCATTAAGAGTTCTGTCAGCGTTTCTATTCAGCTGGTTGTATCATCAGCTTATGAATGATCATAATACTCTAAGTTGCTTTGATGAGTAAAGGTCAGCAGTATATTTGAGCGAAGATAGGAACAGGTGTTTATCAGATGTTATTTGTAACGGTTTAGGGGAATAGGATGTTCTTGGAAGCTCGTCATATTCCGCTGGCAAGAGTCCAAAATTCATGTATAAATTAATAGCCGCGCGCACCTGTTAAAGATCATACGACGTCCTTGTTAATTTAGCTTAACCTACAATCTGATATCTTATTTCGATCCGTCTCCTTATAAGTTCAATAATCGACACAAACGAATTCCACTTTCGGATTTTTTGATTAAAAGTACTGGAGACTCAAAGGAAGATGTTGAGGGTTCGATAAATTCTTCAAGTTTTCTCGTGACTACTCTCAAAGAGCCTCTAATTCAGAAATTAAATATTGAATACAGAGGTCCAAGAG